CCCAGATTGAATTTGGGCCGATCTGACGATCCCGAATGTTCAATAGTATTTGAATTTTAATTTTTTTTCCACAAATCGGATTGATCTGAAATTTGGAACATGTGTACATAAAAAATAGGTGAATCTTTGAGAAAAAAGAAAGAAAATCATATAAAAAACACAAAAGAGAAAATTTTATGAAAATATTTTCACCAAAACAAAAATATAAAAAAAGAAAGAAAAAATTGCCTGTGTTATAAAAGTGGAAAAGTAAGCCATTATAAAAGTAATTGCAAAATCAAAAAGAAAATAGATTCACTAATATTAGATGAAACTATTAGAAATCAAATATATGATATTATACAAATATATCATAATGATAGTTCTGATAAAAGTAATACAGAAAGTTACCTCATTAATAGGTAACATTGAAGATGAAAATCTTATATGGACTAGTACAGAAGAATCTGATAAAGAAATGCAAGAATGTTCATGTAATATGTTATCAAAAGAAGATAATTTAATACTAGATTTAATAGAAAAGATTACAGACCCGGATGAGAAAAGAGAAACTATAACTCAATTCATTAATATTACTAAAGCAAAAAATAAACCAACTCCTTTGATAAAAACCCCAGATGAATACAATTTTGCTGAATAATTAAAAGAATAAATAAGAAAGATATAGTTAAAAAAGAACCAACAATAATAGAATTAAAAAAGGAAATAAATGAAGTAAAATTAGAAGTACAACAACTTAAAATAGAATAAAAATAATAGAATTGCAAAATGAAGTAACAGGAAGTATTACAGATACAGATGAAATAGAGTTTGAACATTTAATAAGTCAAACAGAACAACCTGAATCATCAGGAATAAAATTAGAAGAATTAGACAATAATAAATCTATAAATTTAATAAATAAAATTATTACTCAGAAGTGGTTTGTATTAGTAAAGATCATAATCAATAATGATTATAATTTCCAATATTTAGCATTAATAGATTCCTGAGCAGATTTAAATTGTATAAATGAAGGATTAATACCTACAAAATATTTTGATAAAACAACACAAATATTGAACATTGCTGATGGAAGTAGATTATTTATTAAATATAAATTATCTAATGCTGTTGTGTGCAATAACGGACATTGTTTCCCTACCCCATTTATAATGGTAAAAGGACTAAGCCAAGCAATAATACTTAGTGTCCCTTTTCTTACTCTTTTATATCCAATTACAATCAATAATACAGGAATAGAAACAACCATAGTAGGAGAAACAATTAAGTTTGAATTTGTAGATAAACCAAAATTAAAAGAAATAAATAGAGTTAAAGATAACATCAAAAATAAAGAAAAATTTTTATGCGCATTAAAAGAAGAAATTAAATATAAAATGATAGAAGAAAAATTACAATCTAATGAAGTTAAAAACCAAATTAAAAATATAACAAAACAAATAGAAAATGAAATATGTAGTGAATTACCCAATGCTTTTTGGGAAAGAAGAAAGCATATGGTAAGTTTACCATATGAATCTACCTTTCATGAATCTAAGATTCATACAAAAGCAAGACAATTACAAATGAATACAAAATTATTAGAATTTTGTAAAAAAGAAATAGATGGATTATTAACCAAAGGATTAATTAGACAAAGTAGTTCTCTTTGGAGCTGTGCTGCGTTTTATGTCAATAAAAATGCAGAACAAGAACGAGGAGTTCCAAGACTTGTAATAAATTATAAACCCCTAAATAAGGCACTTCAATGGATTAGATATCCTATATCTAATAAAAAAGATTTATTCGATAGAATGTTAAATGCTTTTATCTTTTCAAAATTCGATTTAAAATCGGAATACTGGCAAATCCAAATAAAAGAAGAAGATATATACAAAACAACTTTTAATGTCCCTTTTGGACAATATGAATGGAATGTCATGCCCTTTGGACTAAAAAATGCTCCATCAGAATTTCAAAGGATCATGAATGATGTATTTAATCCCTACATGAAATTCATGATAGTCTATATTGATGATGTATTAATCTTTTCTGAAGATATACCACAACATATAAAACACATACATGTATTTATAAAATGCTGTTAAACATGCTGGATTAGTTGTTTCCGCCAAAAAGATGAGTTTATTCCAAACAAAAATTAGGTTCTTAAGACAATATATCCCAAGGAACAATCATACCAATAGATAGATCTATTCCATTTGCTGATAAATTTCTAGATATTATTCTAGACAAAAAAGAATTACAAAAATTTTTAGGATGTCTTTATTATATAGTAGATTTCTATAAAAATTTAGCAACAGATGCAAAATGTTTATATGATCGACTAAAAAAAAATCTTCCCAAGTGGACTAATATTCATACTGAAGCAGTTAAGAAACTTAAACTCAAATCCAAAGAATTACCTTGCCTTTCACTTCCAAATCCAGAAGCGTTTAAAATACTTGAATGTGATGCTTCAAAATTAGGTTTAGGAGGAATCCTTAAACAAAGAATAAATTCCACTGAACTGCTAGTCAAATATACATCTCAAGCATGGAACCCTACTCAACAAAACTATTCTACTGTTAAAAAAGAAATTTTAGCAATCGTTCATTGCATTACTAAATTTCAAAGTGAAATTCTTAATACAACTTTTCTAATTCGTACTGATTGTAAAGCTGCTAAAGATATTCTTCTTAAGGATGTGCAAAACTTAGTTTCTAAACAAATCTTTGCCAGATGGCAAACTATTCTCTCTGCTTTCGATTTTACGATTGAGCATTTACATGGTTCTCATAATTCTCTTCCTGATTTTCTCACCCGTGAATTTTTGTAGAGGGGGCAGAACAGACAAATCTGACCCAGAAGAACTCTCTCTAGCTTTAATATTATTCAATAATAATAAGAATATGAATACTAATAAGAAAGGCAAACTGCCAATGGACATGACCATGGATTTAGTTCCAGCCACTTCATCACCATCACCAATCAGAAATTTGACACCATACTCTCCAAGCAACCCAAATAGTCCAGTCTATCCTACATATTCTAGCCAACCTCTATCATCTCCACAGACACCAATATTCTTACAATCTCCATACCCAAAAAACCTACTTATACTGGAAGATCCCAGTATGAAGCAACCGCCTTTATTGAAAACATAATAGAAGATATCCATATGGTTGATGACCCAAATACAATAGCCAGATTTTACCTTTGCAACAATCTTAACCCTTCTTATGGTATAAAAACCAGAGAATGGTTTGAGATGCTTTTAATGGAAACAGGTTCTATTACCATTGCTCATTACTATCAAAAGAATTAAAAAATAATATCATATTCAAAATTGCAAATACGAAAAGTGTTACATTTCAGTGAATGGGGATCAGACCCTTCTAGAGCCAAAAGATTAATATCCCCTGAATTCCCAAATAAACATTATAGGTATTCTGAATATGTTGAAGCCTGATATAAAATCTTAACAGTATAAAACCAGTACAATTCTCACACTTAGTTTCTCCAATTTAAAATACCAGTTACTGACACATTCCCAAACTGGTTTAAAGACTGGTTTATGGTTTGGGGATCCAGAACCCAAATAATGCCCGAAACCTTGCAAATAGCCCAAGATAAATTCATTGACAATAATGGGAAAGATCCCGATATCAATTACCACTTATATTTTATTGTTTTATATCAAGTACCATAGATAGTAAAGTAGGCATATGCGATATCTCTCACTTTCTATATCAACGTTTCTATCAATATCCATATATATAAGGTACATAAGGCACATGGTTGGACCCAGTCTCTTATGATACATGTAAAGGCGGTTCCTTTTTTTGGCACCCCCACAAACAATTACCAAAGGATGAGGTCTGTGTGTTAAAGTGAGATGCACTTTTGGTGCCGGAAAGCCATATGAAAAACTTATTGTCACTCCTAAAATTAATGTTGTTTGAGCGGATATATAAACTATAAAACTTTTTTGGAAATCTGATGGTCCAGATGATGCAGTACAAGACTCATTATTTTTGTGAGTCAAATTCTTTTTATATAATATATTCATAAATCTCGAGGTGGAGATGATCATGGTTTTCTAGCATTGAAATAATTTCTTGAGGTATGCATACTTGTTGACACCTTATATAAATGTTTTCCTTAACAAAAATCAGTCGGTCGCTTTAATCCAACCAAGTCAAATTTGGCAGTTATTGAATTTCTCTTTCCTTCCATTCTTTTTTATCTTTTCCATTATTAAAATATAGAAAGCCAACCAATTTTGAAATGTCAGTTCTTTGAAATATTGCTTGGCTTGTGCGTTTAACTTCTTTAGAAAGGGTCTAATGTTCACATTTACCTTAATAAAAACGAAAATTAATCTGCTTTTGAATTTATAATAATTCCAATAAAATAAGCACCAAAAGCCAGGTCATCTGAATCAAAACCTACCAAGGATTCAAGGTAATGAGTTTTCATTATTCTCCCTAACCAATTCCTATGTATAAATACATTCAAGATACAATCACAAAGACGGGCTTCCAACCCTCCAAAAACCAGAGAGCAAGAGAGATGGACAGTGAAGAAGTGTCCCCCTTCCATGGAGACACACTAGAGGCCATTCTCTCACACGTCGGAATCCCGGACCTCCTGCGGCTCGCGCTGGTTAACGGGGCTTGGAACAAGGCTGCCATCTCGGTCCTTGGCCAAGCCCTCGCAGACTGCAAGCCATGGCTCCTCCTCCACCGCCACAGCCGCCGTAGGCCCTACGAATCTACTGTCCACGCTTATGATCCGTATTCACGGTCGTGGATTCGCCTGCCTCACTCACAACCCTCACTTGACTCGTACCGGTTTCGCTCCTCTCAATCGAATCTTCTCTATACTCTCTCTCCCTCTCGGATAGCCTTCTCCATCGATCCTCTCAAACAACAATGGCACCACACTGGTGGAGAGGGCATGCAAGTGTGGCGTATGCACCCGGTGGTCGCAACCTTTGAGAGTGAGAGCTCTACAAAGGTGGTGGTCATCGGTGGCACATACGACTTCGAAGACGACCCTCTCTCCGTAGAGATTTTCGACTCGAGTATCCAGCGCTGGGAAACCTGTGACTCCTTACCTGAAACTTTCAGGGGAAGGGCCTCTGCCTCTTGGTTATCCGCAGCAATATGCCACAAAATTCACATTTTGGACAAGAATTCAGGCCTATTTTGCTCGTTCGATCCTGATACTAAAAAATGGGGCACGCTTGCCGTGATCTTCTCCGAACCCGCCGTCTTCGAGAGCATGATCGTCTGGGTTGGCGACAAGATAATTCTGGTTGGACTTTTGGGGGAGGCAACAAATGTGTCGAGTGTGGGAATATGGGAAGTGAATTGCGAGGGAAATGAGTGTAGATTGATCGGAGAATCTCCACCACAAATTTGCCGGGAAACTTTTCCGTCGGAGGCCGGGGCCATGGGATTTGACTGTATAGCAGCTAACGGTCTCATTTATGTGTATAATCCGTGCATGTGGGGGCAAATACTCACGTGTGATGTTTCGGGTGCAGGCTGCAAGTGGGGAGTGATAGAGAAATCGGATTTAGAAGGAGAAGGGATGGAATTGGATTCATGGGTCTTTACTTGTTCTTCAGTTGGAATCGAAGATTTGATCAAGGTTTTTGAAATAAAGCGGAGATGATGATGACGAGAAAAAATAAAGCTTAGATGATGATGAGATTTTTTAAGTGACTTTCATATTAAATTTGGGTTTCATAGAGGGATAGGGATTTTATACGTTAATTCTTGGATTTTTGTAAGATGGATTGTTAGTATGTGTTGTCAACTATTTGTTTCCATGGTTTTTCCCTTGTCGTTGTAGCAGACAGGAGAGTTGGTGAACCACTAATCTAATCTAAGCCAGGAGGAAAAACCAAGAAAAAAACAGAGAAGATGTTTATGAAGGGGTCAAAATGTAGACCACGGCGCATTTGCACCTCCTTTGACTCGTATTTGTGGAATTACCTATCCCTTAATACAAAAAGAAAAAGCACAAAAGGAATAAAAAATAAAAAATTAACAAAAGGAAGCCTGCTAGAAAATGTAAATGTGAAATGACAGCACTATTATTTATTTCTAGGATTTTGTACAATAACACTGTTTATATTTATGGTGCAGTTTACATACAGATGCACTGTATGCGTAGAGGTAAGGTGCACCTTCAAATTTTATCATGATATATAATTTTGATGTAAAATGTTTTTAAGATTATTTTAAAATCTAATTTTATATTTAATTATAAAATTTAAAATTTAAAAAATAGTTATAATCAAGTAGATCTATAAACATATGAAAATCATGAAAATGGGTGGGGAGTTAAAGGTATAAAACATTATTTTGGTGGGGAGTTAAATGTACCATTTGTAATATATGAGTTGAAAAGGATCATGAAAATGGGTGGGGAGTTAAAGGTATAAAACATTATTTTGGTGGGGAGTTAAATGTACCATTTGTAATCTATGAGTTGAAAAGGGTACGTCCCCAAATTTGAGGTCTTAAAATTAATTCTAGATGGAATTTGACCTGAAGGGAGTAAATTGGAGTAGAATACCTTTTAGATTTTTTAGCATGGGTACGATGAGCATGATATCCCAAAATAGGGGCTCCTATTTGACCTTAACTTTTGTAGATGTCCTCAACATAACGAGTATAACAATTTTAGAAATAAAATACAATAAGATAAAAAACTAATTTTGAATCTTTGAAGGTGTGGAGCTAAAATGGGCATTCAGAGTTTTGAATTATAGAAATAAAATACATTAAGATAAAAAACTAATTTTGAATCTTTGAAGGTGTGTAGCTCAAATGGGCATTCGGAGTTCACCAAAGTGTTTGTCCCTTAGGAAATCCATTTTCTAGGATATCTTGATTCTTTTTTACTGTTCATTGGGTTCAATTTTTTTTTTTTTTTTTTTTCAGAGTAAGGAAATGAAATGTGTATGCTGCAAGAAAAAACAATAGTGTTAGATCAACGCCATAGAGGGGTCTACTTGATACTAAATTTTGAGATGCATGTGAAAACAAAGTCAAAGAAATCCTGCTAAATAGCTATTTTAAGTGTTTCTGTGCCATGAGCTAATGTGTATATATATATGGAAAGAGAGAGAGTAAAACAATGACATGATAGTGATCATGTTGCTTATTTATTTTTGTTCTTTTATTTTTCAAAGCGATAATTATTTAAACATATCTAAGTATTTATTTCCAACATGTAGACATTGTCACATGATGTATGGTGGTAAAATGTTCAGCCTCTCCAGAATCGTTTGTAGGTTAACAATTATTATTTTTTAATAACATTATACACGAGGTAAATCACTTCAGATTATTAGAGATTCTGCTTTGATATCGAGGGTCGACACGCCTTAACATAGCCTTGACCCTCTAACAGGACCAAACAAACTGTTGCACTTTTGTCAAGGTGTTCGCATGAATCAACGATTGTCAATGCTCAATACCTGCCAAATAACAGGTTTGTTGGAGTAATGACGATATAGATCAATATCGTCATAACACTCGTTACTGATCAATGTCATGAAAGATGCGTTGCATCTAACAAATACCTGTGTCATATACATGCAAGCATCTAAAAGCGTCGATATGTATCTGAGAAACCACAATAAAAAAAACAAGTAAACATAATGAATCCAGGCAACAATGGTGCATTGAAAGGTCAAGACACTACAAGAAACGAATCATTAAGAATCAAGAGATAAGATAGAGAACAAGCAGGTCAACATAATTCAAATATCCAACACGAATTCTGTAAAGACAATGCCATTGGACTCATGCATCGGTACGAATTGTATAAATCTTTCTACCACAGGAGGACAAGCCACAAATTTTCTTGGTAGTGAATGTATATCTATCATATTAAGCAGTTAATGGGGGAGTTACCACCAAACTCCAGCCCTTTTGAGTATTGATAACAATACTACAATTACAAAAATGAACCAATGCCCATCAGATCTCAAATTCAGGGGCGAAATAATACCAACAATATACACAATAAATAGACAATGTCAAACTCTCCTAAATTGACATGTGTTGGCTACCCATGACCCAAATCATAGATAATGGCCTTAATATCCAGAGAGACACAGGTCCTCACCTAATTAATCTTCAGAGAAAATGCTCTGATACTCCTTGTATACAGCAAGCAGTGCAGAGTCCCTCTAGACATGACTCCTCATCCATGGGAAAGTATCTATTTCCCATGAACTCTGCCATAAAGACATATGTGTCCACACCTAATAATTTATCTGACAAAATGCTCGTAAATCACTGTTTTATGAAAGGATTATTAGGATGCTCCAACATTTCCAAAAGGACACGAGTGCCCTCATCTAATAATTTATCTGACAAAGTGCTCTTAAATAACTCTTTAGCTCTCTAGAGAGTTCTCACCTTATTATCTTGTGAAGAAAAGGCTCTCAAAATCTTTGTATAGTCCTCTAGACCTCCTCTGATCCATGGAGAAAGGATTATTGCTCCCTGAACTGCTCCTACTCTTATTGCTGCTCCTAAACCACCTTGGGTTTGAGGGGCCAGCCTCATCACGTCCATGGCCAAAGCTTGCCTTTGCCAAATCTCTCAGTTGCCTCATCCATGGCTTCTCTCCTGACCCCCTTGATGACCTCACCCCACTCACTCTCTCTCCACTCTCACTCACTCCTCTCTCCCCCTCTCTATAATCCAACTTTATTTCTCCAAACCAACTCTGCAAAACCTCAAAAGGAACTACAAAACTCACCAACCCTACAAAACCCATCTTCAGTCCACGTCCAAAGGACTTCTCATCGGGGCTTAACCGACGAATTTGCATAATCAGGGCCCACCACTCATTCATAACTTGTGTAAGAAATGCAATCATAGCGAGAGAAATGAAGAATATACCAACTGCTTTTTGGTCTTGGACTTTGTATGCCTTTACAATCACAGTCATGCATGCACCCAATATAATGGCCTCACTGGCAACTGATACAATCTCAACAAGTTGCATTCTCTTTCTAATGAATGGCTTCTTTATAGTGAGAAAGACAAGTTGGAATCCAGCAATTGAGAACACTGCAATGGCTGGAATTCTTACCGGAAGTTTGCCAGAAATAGCACCAGCAGCCAAACCAAGTGCCGCTCTCTTAATGCATTCAAGGAGCGTGTAATATATACGAAGAATACCGAAGAGTTTCTGAATGGCAGTTGCCTCTGCATCTTCTGTTTCATCATCGGAAGGGATAATTTGGCCATGTCTTTTGCTGGAAGTTTCCCCAGAAAATTGGGAGAGCATGTACTTTGGTGGGCCCCTCAGGTCTTCAAAGAGAGGGCCAAGGGTTGTGAGGTGGGTTGAGTTTGGATTGTTCTTCCATGTCCATTGGCCTCTCTTGCCTGGGCCCAGAGAGACTCTTATAAGGTCATGGTAACAATGGAGGTCTTGATCTTCTTGATGTATTTCTTTGTACTGGAGAAGCTTACCCAATGTGATTCCCAGTGAAAGAAAAATGAGTAGAGAGAGGAGGAAGAAGGCTGGGATTCCAAGTACTAGGATTCCTACTGTGACTCCTGCCGTTGATCCTCCTGCACCACAATCTAAATCAGTTTCGTAAAGCAAAATAACAACAATTATGAAGATTTAGCTTTTGAGAGAGAGAGAGAGAGAGAGAGAGAGATAGAATACTTACCTTTCATTAGTGCTGCTGCTGCTTGACACATACATGGTAATGCGAGCATAATCAAGAAAATTTCAAATCTCCACAATACAACTGCTCCATAGTCCTTTTGCTTTCCCACCATGGAATTTCCTTTCCATTTAAGGAGCAAAAGGAGTAAAAAATGAAGCAGCATCAAACCAACCCCAATTATGGCTAACCAAAACATGTTCCAACCAAACTCCTTCCAACTGCAAGTTGTGGCAATAATAAATCGAAGCATAGAAATAACAAGTCAATGTGAGTATTTTCAATTTGACATAAAATTAACAAAAGGAAACAAAAATAAATCAAACAAAACCAAGAAAATTTTCAACTTTTGCTGAGGTTCTTGCTGGAGCCATCATTGAAGTTTTGTTTCTTGATATTTCAATGAAAAGTTAATCTTTTCGGAATATGTCTTTATTTCATAAAAGGCCGGATGTCCATGGAATCTCAACCTAAAGAAAAGACACCAAAAGAAAAAGTAAAATGAAATGTTAAACCCAGTATAACTTTGGTCCAAATTTTGGTAAGTTTTGGCCAAGAATTTAAATGACAATTAGAATGTTAAGTTATTACGGCCAAAAGTTTGTGTGATGGTTCCATTGATGGTCTCATTCAAGATTCCTTATTGACTTGAACCATCATTAGTTTAAAATCCCTCCCTGATTCGGATTTCAAGAGGTTTCCAACTGGATTAGATAAGTGGCAATTGTTTATATCTTTTGCATTAAAATCCCTTGATAAAGCAGAATGGCGAAACAAGATTCATGTAGCCGACTCCAAATAGTTGGGATAATACTCGGATTATGACGATAGTGATGATTCAAGGGCACTGAATATCCTATGAAGCAAGGTTTGTATAACATATTTTGAACTGGATTGAAGGTCGCTAGAGCTTAATTGTGGGCTATGGTGCCTTGAGCTCTAATATCTGCAAGCATCGTTTGAATCTATAACTCGGTGTCAAATGTTCATTGTAATTTGTTTTGTCTAAATTCAAAACCATCAAAAACTGCCATCACCATATCAAATTCAAATAGTGCATATACAATAAATCTGATCATATCTTAAAATTTCAAGCACGACATATGAAGGAAAAAAATTCTATTCTTAAAGACAGGAAAATGGTAACTAAGTACAAAAAAGGACCCCTATGAGTACGCACACACACGCACACATAGGATCTTGCATCATTAATATTACACCTTCCAGGTTAATACATGATGATTCCCAATTGAGAGGTTACATGGAAACTGAACACTTGTTGCACATTTCTGTGATTGCAAGTAGGTTTGCTTCATACAGGTGCATTTTACATTTGACAAGAGCTGTCACAGTGGGCCTCAACTGAGACAATGCTTTTCCTTGATTCATATATTAATCTTGATTATAAGCTAGAAGCAATCCATTCATAAAGAACACTAGTGAGTGATTGGGTAGCTATCCCCTACTTCATCTGATTTGCATCCCCACTATTACCTCCATCTTCATATCCTAGTTGTTTTAAGAAGGAAGAAGGTCCTCCAAGGACTTGTGTACACTCTTGAAGTTCAAAGTGAAGCTCAAAAGATAAGAAGTTGACAATTGGAGAGGAGGGGAAAACAATTCTTGAAGGTAAGGCCAACATGGCCACTTCCAAGTTGAGGAAGTCTACATGGTGTACAGCACCTGTAGAGGTAAGGCTCCTATGGTTGATCTAACTTCACTGGAATTCACTGTCAATTGTCCAATATTGTTGAGTAGTTAGAATTTATTTCACAAGATAATGCTAAGGATATTAATGAATTGGAAGATGGCAAAAGAGAATAAATTACTACAGTTGAGAAAATCTAGTTCGGGATTCAGTATTTTGTGTGAAAGAATTAAAAGCATCATGCATGGTTTAAAGTTAAAAATGTCAGAAGATATGAATGAACCAAATGAGATAGGAGAAAGGAAAGTGCAAGGAGATGCAACAAAATGCAATACTCTTGTGGTGGAAATATGTTCATATCCATCTCAAGGGCCCTCTCATAGAGGCATATATAAAACATAATATATAAATCCAATGACCACAATGCCCTTAGGTACGTAATATTTACAATTATGTCCGTCTTTGGATATTAGAAAGAGCTCGTAATATAAACAAATCAAATTCAAACATGGAAAAAGATGTAACGGCAACATCATGGCAAGAAAAGGAAAGAAGCGCAGCATCCAATATCCCTCACTCTCTCATACATAACAAATAACTAATTGCAGATGACGAGGACAGAGACAAACTGATCACCATTCTGAACTCTGTGTGGTTCAGAATATATGATGGTCACATATATACTAATCTGCCAACTAACCTTTGATAGAATATAGGATCTTTCACATTTGTCCCATCATCCTAAGGAGTACTTCACATTTGATTCTAGAGAAGTATTGACTACCTATTAGTACCTAATGATCTGTAAGGAGATCAATGGTAAGTCGATTCTATGTGTGCTTCCTTCCACCAATGAAATATTTCAAAGGAAATCATATTAAAAAACAAATCACAGGAAAGATATTACATGATGGCAGTGTACATTAAAGTAATTTAGTAATTTTGATATAAATATAATAAACACAAGATCTCAGTAGTCTCATAGATTTTAATATCCACATGTAAGCCGACATTTCATACATTTCTGTCAAATAAACAAACTTACCCATCAGGGCTCTTCGGATTTAATTCTAACTCCGCTTCAGGTTTCATATTCATACTCTGTAAATTGAATATTTAGATCAGCCTTAACTTGAAACCCTAATGTTGATCAATAATACATCAAATGAACTCTTTCAAATGACAAAAAAAAAAAACAATTAAAGTTAAATCATGTAAACAATATGAGCACTCCTTTCATCACAACCATTGTTCAGAAGTAATTATAGCAATAACAACATGAATAACACAAATCATACTGTTAACCATAATGAATTTTTATGAGTGTAGTTTTGGAGTGTCATGGCTTTACAAAATTTGGCGAAGCCGCACCTCGAACCCTACTGGCAAACACAGATTTGGGGCCAAGAGCCCTTGTGATGGCCTGCAAATCTATTTCTGCCCTGATTAGGGAATTTCAAGCTCCAGTTCTGAAGCATGAAATTTCTTGTATCTGTAAAGAATGGACATGAATAGTCCAGAAAATGTGCCGCAAGATGGACCACTTTTAGGGCTTGACGTCCATTTTCTTTTTGACTTCCATGACTGTCAATGTGGAGATGATCAATTTGCAGGTTTTATGGTGCCGAACCTGTGTTTTGAGGAGAGTTTTGAGGTGCAACTTAATAAAGCCATGGGCACACTTAATACCTCCCATTTTGTTTTTGGGGTAATGTTAATCATAATGATCATGATAGTAGAAATAATAATAACACATGTTGTATTTGTTGCTATCATCATCACCATCAATCATCATTGTTATTTTTGAGATGTTCTTACCTCAAAGAATATGTTGTACTCCATAGCAGTAAGCGGTCGCCCAAAACCCAATGAGTCCGTCAGGATTTTTTTCATTTTCCCATAGTTCAGGATGTGGGATCCCACATTATTTGAACGAAACTTAGAAGCTAGCATGATGAAATGAACATTGTGACTTTCCCATGGGACCCTAATGTAAGGAATGCTCCATTGTAGACCCCTTGAAAATTCGTAGAATTCAACAGGCATGGCAGAAGCCAGCCATCTTGACAGTGCAAAAACTTGAATGTGGAAAGCCATTCTCTGAAACATAACAAAAAGTACATGATTTCAGGATAAAAAGTTGGTTCTTATATCAATTACTATAATGAGCTGAATATGTGTGCCTGGTGTCCATTTTCTATTGGGATAAGGCTAATGAAATCTGGAAATACCTAACATATTATTCATGAAATAAAGGATATTATTCCAATTTCTTATACAATCTCATGATTGGAGGTGTGCACATACGTACTTCTATGTTCAAAAAACAAAGTGAGAATCTTAAGCGGAGAATAAGATCTCCCTAAAATCATTGATCAGATATATCGAGTACAAGAAATGTATTTGAAAATGTCTACAATATTGCCAAAGAAAAATGAAGATATGAAACCATACTATTAGATTTCGAGAGGGATCAGAAGTCAAATAGGAAGATGAGGGCCTTTGGAGAACCCCTGAAGCCTGTAGGCTTGCAGTAGAAATTGTAAGCAATCCAGCTGCAAAAGACGTCACACCAAATATAGCAGTTGTAATGGTATATGCCACGATCGAGACCATTGGTACCGAATCTGCATTAGTATTTCATGCCAAATTTAGAGGTGATGAGACTATTTATCTTAGATAAGGAAGTTGTTATGGATTCAAGCACAAGCTTTCAATTTATCAAGCCAGCTGCCAGGGGCTCCAATCTTCAATACTATACATATATACATATCACAGGTGGAAATGCATAAAACAATTATTATTTCTGGCTCGAAAGAAATCAGTATAATAGTGTAATTGACTTGTAATGTTTATGACCCACAACTACATATTCAAGCCAGTGGAGCTTATCCCCAATCTATATCATAATATCTTCATGCACTCTAACAATCATTTTTCATACAAGTCACAAGGACCAATAGCTCCATGATGTAGAGCAGAGAGGAAGAGAGAGAAAGCCCATTACCAGTTAGAAATTAATGGATTTCAACTGTGATACAAAGACAATGGGCTGAAGGTAACAAATCCTAACTTCAATGGCTTGTAAGAGGGTCCAAAGACACCCCAAAATAAGAACTGAGTTCCTGATTTCTCATATTTTACAGGAAAAACATTGATTCTAGTAGGGTAAAGTCTCCCACTTTTAATAGACTTGGCTTTGCTTCTAAGTCAAAGCTCCCTCTTAACTTTCCTAAGAACATTTTTTATGGACTCTACCCCTTCCCAAGTCATGCAAAACACCTTTTCCAAGCCATGCTTGAAGTTTCTAGGAATATTAATGGACACTATCCCATGCACAATACCTCTTCCCAAGCAAAATTCAAATTCAAATTCTAGCTTTTTCCCTCCTAATTTTTCCATGCTCAAAAGTTAAATGGAGCCCCAGAAATATCCATTACAGAAAAAAATACCCAAAATACCCCTGCAAAAACTAAAGAGAAAATGCAGTCCAAAAACTGTCAAACAAACTTTCTTTTATTTTCTTCATCATCGTACTTTGGAGCTTCACCGTATTAGCATGCATTTATTATATTTTGCTTGTAGACCAGCTCCATGGATTTTTGCAGAAAATGTTATTCTTCAGGTTCCTATATATATGTAATGTGTAATGTGTAATGTGCGTATGCATTTAAGTATGTGCACATCGTTGCTAAGATCTCCCAACCTAAGTGGCGATCTTACTCCAGAATCTCGATTAGGTGCTCTGGAAGGGGTTTTTTAAGTTATCCAAATCCCCACCTTAAAGATCAAGATAATGACCAAATTGACGATTTTCTTTATTTATAGTCAGCTAGTAACGCAACCATACTTTTAATATAATTGCATTGCTTGTTGGCTACAAATAAGAGATCCTTTAAAAAGTATATATAGATTAGTCCAAGACCATGTACACTCTTTAAGATTGGGAGCAAGATCCCCAAAAGGTTGAGACTGAGTACCCAAAAGGTGCAGATCAAGATCTCCAAAAGGTTGTGATCATAATCCCTAAAATTTGGGGTTCTCGATCCCCAACATATGCATTGTCCAAACGACACTCCCAATCATAGGGAACTTCTAGTTTTTCACCATCCCTAGCTCCTGATCTGATTCCACTCCCGGTTCAGCTCTTGATCTCAACAACTGTGTGTGCATGTTTCTGTACATGTATTTACTCTAGTGGCATGTACATGGAGCTCTAAATATAAACCTTGGGCAGAATGTTGCTTTATATATATATGAAGTATGCTTGTGATGGGGACCACATTTTTTATCATGACATCTAATAGTTGTCTTATTGTAAACCAAAGAACAAATAGATCATAATCATGCTTACAATGGCTCACTTGTAGAAGGTTCGATGCAGTATTTCTATTTCCCGCTACATCACCTGTTATATTTTCAGGAATTTCAATTGTTACTGCACTGGAATCAATTTTTACATATGCAGTGTACAAATTCCTGCTCACTTCATCAAAACTGCATGGAAAGAAGAGAGGAAAAAACAAAAAATTGCAGTTTTGATTAGTAAAACACAACTAAAACTGTGTCAAGTAATTTATATATTCACGCAGGGGGGAGGGGAGAGAGAGAGAGAGAGAGAGAGAGAGAGAGAGAGAGAGAGAGAGAGAGGAGGAGGAGGAGGAGGAGACGACGTCGTCGTCGTCGTCGTACGTACGTCCGTCCGTAGTACGTAGTAGTAGTAGGTAAGGTAGGTAGTAAGTAACTAACGAACGTACGTACGTAC